TCCCTGGGACTGGTTTCTCGTCCCGAGTCGTCTTTTGACGGTCCCGAGGGCCGGTGAGGGCCTCCAGAGGCCAAGGATAGCGACGCAGTTCGCGTCGCGATTTTCTTCGTGCCTCGGGGGCCCTTCGGGGACAGGAGAAGGCCCGGCGGGAGGCGCACGCGGAGGCCGAGCTGCTCGCGCTCGGGGACGGGGCCCCGGCCGACGCGGCCGGGTGAGGCGCGGCGCGGCCCGTGGCGCGCGCCGCCTGGAGGCGGTGCTCGGCGCCGTCGGCCGCGCCCCCCGCGCCCCGGGGGCGGGCTCGCGGCGGGGCCTCCGCCGAGCAGGGCTCGCTTGGATTCCTCCGATGCGAGCCGACTCGGTTTCGACGGCGCCCGATGCCGCTCCGATGCGACCTCGGATTCCGAGGCAGGCTCCGACGTCTGATTGGAGGCCTAGGAGCCTGCCGATTTCCGCCGATGCGGCTTCTCCCGACCCGGCCGCCGATTTCCGCCGATCCGATTCATGTCGATCGCCGATCCGACTTGTCGATTCGACTCTGGGCTCTCCTGCTGGAGGTCCAGACCGCTTCCCCAGGGCCGGTTTTTCGTTCTGAGTCGTTGGTTGACGCTCCCGAGGCTTAGCGAGGGCCCCCCGAGGCCGAAAATTGTCAGAAACCCGCCACTCCAATTTGTTGGAGCGTCGGTTCTCTGGGTCCGCAGCCTTCGGCCCTCGCCTCCGCAGCCTCTGCCTCGCAGGCCTGCTCTTGGCGGGGGGTGCTGCTCGCCATCACGACGGCGACGACGACGACGACGACGACGACGACGACGACGACGACGACGACGACGACGACGACGCTCGCGCCCGGCGGGTCCTGAGGCTAGCCTGCTGCGCTCGGGCTCGATCGGGGCCCGGCCCTGAGCGTCTGGGCCGTCCTAGAAGCATTGCAGACGAAGAGCCGGTCCCGGGGGGGAGGCCCCAGGATCCATGAAGCAGTAGCGAAGCGTCCCGGCGTGCCTATAGGCTTACCTAAGAATGTTCTAAGCACCTTTTGTGGTCTCCACGAAATGTGCTGAGAACATTCCCGGCCGGGACTGTCGCAAATTAACGCATTGGTTTTATGTTCAAACAACATGGTTTTCGTGTTCGAAAAATTGTGGATTCCAAGAACATTTCGTGGTAGGCCTACAGGAATGGCGGGACGGTCGGTCTTTACTCAAAGAGCCCGTTTCCTCCGTGCCAGGTCAGACCCCCTCGCGTTTTTGCCATTGTGGCCTCTGGGGGCCCTTGCAAGCCCGCGGGACCGTCAAGAAACGACTCTTAGGATGAAAAGCTAGTCCAGGGAAGGGGTCGAGACCCTTGGGGGTCGACGTCGCGAAGACATCATGACGTCGGGGGTCTTGGATGCCAGGCCCTCAGATCCGGCATGACATTTGTTTCAAAGCGGGCGCTTCCTCGCCGTCCCCCTCCTCCTCCTCCTCCTCCTCCTCCTCCTCCTCGTCCTCCTCCTCCTCCTCCTCTTCCTTCTCCTCCTCCTCCTCTTCCTCCTCCTCCGGTGGTATTGTAGTGGCCTCCGGCCAGTGCCGCCGATCCGGGGCTCTCCTGATGCTATTGCTGTTGAAATGGACGATGACGACGACAACGGACGACCAACGGTCGACGAGCGGGATAATTACGACGACGACCGACGAAGGAGTTAATGACGACGACGACCGACGACGACGACGACGACGACGACGACGACGACGACGACGACGACGACGACGACGACGACGACTGACGGCGAACGGCTGCCGACGGCCGACGACCGACGACTGGTGACGGCGACGGGTGGAAGGTTCTTCGTTCATCGCTTTCACTTCCGAGCAATACCAAGTGAGGCCGTGCACCTCTGGCCTGGCAGCACGCGAGCGAGCGCCTCTTGGGGCCTCTTGGTTCTTGGGGCTTCTTGGGGGCTCTTGGGGTCATCTTGGGGTGGAGGACTAGAAGGGTCCGTTCGGATTCACCCTCTTGAGGCCATCTTGGGGGCCTCTCGGGGTCGTCTTGGGGGGCCTCCAGGGCTATATTGGGGCCCTCTTGGACCGTCTTGGCTCCTCTTGGGGGCCTATTGGGCTGTCTTGGGGCGATCTTGAGAGCCTCTTGGACCGTCTTCGGCGCTTCTAAGACGGAAAAGGCGATAATGTTAAAATGCTTCAAAACTTAGCAGCAACTTTATTATTGTACCCTCTTGGGGCCATCTTGGGGATCCTCTTGGGATCTCCTTGAGGCGTCTTGGAGGCCTCTTGGGCGTCTTCAGGCCATCTTGGGCGTCCAGGAGCGCTCTTGGGCCGTTTCGGGCGCCTCCTGGACCGTCTTGGTGGCCTCCTGGGCCCCTTTTTCTGAATACCAGGGCACCCTGGGGCCCTTCTCGTCACCGCCGTTCGTGACGTAAGTCTCTGAATAGAATAAAGAATGTGATGCGAACCCTTTTCGCTATGTGAAGCGGCGGCGCGCCAACCCGCGCCGTCCTGGGGCGGTACTCCGGCTGCTATATAAAACCCACCCGCCCACTGCCGAGCCAAACAGGCTGCAGGGACGGGAGACTCGAGCAGACCCCTCACGATATATCCAACATGAACATCCTCGAAATCAGACAGGGGGAAAAGAGATCTGCTCGAGCTCGTAGTGCGTGGCACCTGCCGTGGCCACGTCGCTCGCAGGGGGCTGGACCCGCCTCCTGCTTTCCAGGATCTTTCTGGCCTCGCTGTGGTCGGTCTCGGTCGTCTCGTCGAAGATCCTTTTTACCAAAGGCAGACCGTTTGCGAGCCGACAGGAACCTCTCGTCGTGAACGATCTTCCAGCGCTGGCTCTTCAGGAAAGAGTGGAGCACGTTGAAAGCCTGCTGGCTGGCTTTGGTCATGCCATCGGCCAGCTGTGCATGGCTATGCACCCAGCGCACGATCGTCTCGCCCTCCTCGAGGGCCCGGCGCAAGGCGAGCGCCTCTATGGCCGTCCTCCTCTCGTCGAGGCCCAAGCCGGCCGACTCAGACTTCACCACGCCGTCGTAGAACGCCTTGCAGTCCGTCACGAGAGCTCCTGGGATGTGATGCAGAGCAGCAGCACGGTTATGGAGATCGACCGAACCAAAGATCACCTCGCAGAGCACCAGGCGCACCATCATCTGCTCGCCTTCCGCGTCGCTGGCCTCCTGGATCTCTGCGGACAGGCTGGACCTGGCAACCCGCTTGAGCTTGCGAGATCCCCAGTCCAAGACAGTAAAGTCGCATGCCTCCTGAAAAGGTCCTTCCGCCGAACTGAGAGCTGTAACGTGACCTCCTTGGGAATGTCCATCTGGTCGGCTGGCCCAAGCAGCGTCGCGCCAGGTGTAGATACAAAAACCGGAACCACCTCGTCCGCATCCTGGCAGTTGGTGGCGAAAGATCTGGATGCCGTCAGTCCGATTGGCTTTGACCATCTTGGTAATGTTGTTCGCTATCGAAAAGAGCTTGTAGTCACCATTGGGTATCTTGCTTTGAACATCGGCAACCCATGCTGAAACCCAGGGAAGTGTATTGACACCAAGCCAAGAAAAAGCTCCACACCAAGTTCTCAAAGTACTCTGGTCCGCCTCGGTCAATCGGTCGCCGCTCTTGGCCTTCGGGTACTTCGGGAAGATCTCCGTCAGCTTGTCAATGTAGCCCTGCTGGTGCTGGAAGAAACCCTTCTCTTTCTTCACGATCGTAACGCCGCACTGCTCGATGGAGTCGATCCCGTCGTCCATGTCCTCCCAGGTGCCCGACGTGTAGAGGTCCTTGATGCTCTTCAGCGCCTTCCGCCATGCAGGATGGTCTCGGTCACCGCAGAGAATGAAGTCGTCCACGTGGCACATGATGAGCCCCAGCAGCGCCCTGGTCTCAGGGCAGCGTAGACTCCACAGGCATGGTTCGAGATCGCACGCCTGCAATCCCAGCTTGGCGAAGTCCTGCTCCACCGTCTGCCACCATTTGCGAGGAGCCTCGCCGATGCCGTAGCCCGGCTTCACCACGCGTAGCACTTGGCCAGGTTGAACGCCAAATTCAGCAGATAGCGCCTCGTCGGCTTCCACGAAGAGATCCTTCTTCAGGTCGTTCGCCTGCAGGAACGCACTGGGCACGTCGCCCTTGACGATGGCCCAGGAGTTGGCGGCCGCGACCGTGAGGAGTAGATTCCGAGCGCGGCGCGAGGCCGTTGGTGAGGCAGTCGGCTCCTGTCCGATGTCCTTGGTCTGGTAGCCGAGAAGGACGGGGCGCGCCTTCGCGGTCCCATCGCTCTTGCGCGTCAGCACCCAGCGGCACCGGATCACGTCCGCAGGGTCCTTTATCTCGGAAACGGGTACACGACGGAGACCTTTGTACTGCTTCCAGTTGGCGACCTCCTTCGTCATGGCCTTGCGGAACTCAGCCTTCTCGGAGGGGGAAAGCTTTCCCCAGTGAAACTCGATCTTATCCTTCCGCTTCTGGTTGGCAACGAAGCAGTCCAGAATCTGAGAAGTGAGACGACGTCCGCCCTGGCTGTCCGCAAGTTCGGACTTGACCATCTCGAAGTAGGCCGTCATGTTCTCGTCGATCAGCTCGAAGTCGGTGCCGCCCCGGTTCCCGTCGAAGGTGTTCTGGGAGAAGAGCTCCTCATCGTTGTCCTCGACTGTTGGCTTGCCCTCAGAGTAGGGCCCAGGTCGGTCCTGTCGTCGTTCAGCAGGTGACTGTCGGTAGGTGGTCTCGTCGCCCTTGGAGGCCATGCGCCAGCGTCGATGAGGTAGTTCAGCAGGTGGGGCCGAGCTCGCTCTGGACGGCGAACTTAACCGAGACTGCTTCGAGACAGGCTGCTCGATAGAGGAGATACTTGAAGGGGAAGGCGGGGGCGATTCAGGTGGCGTCGGCCCGCCTGTTGGTTCCGTACGTCCGTCCGAGGGATCAGGTTCAGCAGTTTCTTCGTCCATCCGATCGTCATGGTCCTCGGGTGGCTCGGACGGCTGGATCGCCTGCGGTTCGAAGTTCTGGATGCGTGGTCGGCTCTCGTTAGTGAGGTCCTCGAACGTTCCGCGGCGGGCGACCTCCATCAAGTCGGACATGGTGGCCCCGCGTCTCTCCATGTTGTTGAGTTCCACGACCATTCGCTCGGCCTCCGTAGCTGGACGCAGTTGCTCAGGAGCACACCGAAGTAGAACATCGCCGTGCGAGATCCACACGACTGAAGTTGGGCGTGTAGAGCCAGCAAGTACACGTTGTTCTTGAACTAAGACGCGCGCTGGACCATACCAGGTTGCCTTGACAGGCCCACGGCCCTTCCGCCAGTAGTAGCAGTGTTCGCCGGTGTTCCAGCGAGTAGTCACGCGGCTGCGGGCATGTTCTGCATGTCGGCGTCGCTCTGAGTACTCCACCTCAATGAAGTTCTGACGTGCCAGAAGTCGCCTCTGCTCCCGGGACTCTCCGTTGCTGTCGACCACGATGGCAAAGGGGTTGCCTGAGCCCCGATGGCCTCCAGTACCAAAGGCGTGTGCGAAGGGCGAATGGTTCCCGACCTTGTCAAGATCGTTGATCGCATGTGTGACCTGGCTGATGGCCTCGTCGATGTCGCAGTCGTGATTCTGCTTCCTGAACTTAGTGAGAGTCCGCTTGAACAGCTGGATCCTGCGCTCAACCTTGCCCATTAGCCAGTGCGCCTCGCCAGGAGCGATGAACATCTCGATCCCGCGCGTACTGCACCAGCTTTTGGTAAGTTCCGCTCGACGACATCCCTCAGCGTCGCAGCGAATGAGGCGAGGAGCGCGGTAGTGATTCGTCCATGATCTCCAGGTCTCTAGGAGGTCCGCTGCTGATCGGTTGCCTGACCTCTGAGACTTGTCGCCGTGGTTGAAGATCTGCGTGAGTCCAGACTCCTCGTCAAGGTTCAGCGTGAACAAGTAGGTCGCGTCGTCAACAGGGTCGGTCCACTCGAGACCGTCACTCCCCATCACCTCGAAGATTTCGGGAATGTCGATGCCAGCAGCCGTTTTGACGGCCTTCGGCAGCACCGAGGAGTCGCAGGCATGGCACTTAAACTTCTTGACCATCTTCAGCACCTGGATGCTCGCGCCCGAGTTCTTGAAAATCTTGAACATGGTTCGGACGCTGGGGTGACCCAGATTGCGATGAAGTCGGCTGAGGCGGTGCTCTATCTCCTGGGCCTCCTTGGTGCTCAGCGTGCCGCCGTCCTTGGAGAGCTCCCTGGGGTCATCCTCGTCGAGCTCCTCGTCTGACGCCTGCGGTTCCTCCATCTCCAGGTCGCCGTCTTCGTCGATGCCTTCGAAGATGCCATCGTCAGTGTCCTGGTCTGTCGCCAAGAGAGCTGAGGTTTCAGCTGTAGTACCACCTCCGGCACGCAGAATGTGCTTCGCCCAGACCTTGCACAACGCCTCGGGGTAGAACGCTGTGGCCGCTACCACTTTCCCCCCGATGATCTCACCATGCTCGTGGTTGTCATGCCGACCAGGGCGATTACTGCAGCGCTTGCCGATGGCCTTCTGCAGCTCGGGGTCAGTAGAGCAGATCCTCCAGACCTTGGGCAAGAGGAGACCGCGGCGGGGGCAGCGGAGGCCGTAAGCACAGCCAGACACCAGCGTCTCGTAGGTCTGCTCCCTGATGCGCTTCAGTGCCTCCGAACGTCCCCAGCTATGAGATCTCTGCGGCTGCTCCAGGTCGATCTCGGTCCCACGGAATTGGAGCCCGACTGACATGATGGTCTCGCACCCAGCTTGGATCCGACGAGCCTTTTGCACCTTTTTACGTAGACGTTCGCAGTCCTCTGGGGTCTTCTTATTCCAGTTCTGGAGTTGACAGTCCGCGGTGCACGGAGGACTCATGACGATGCGTCGAGGCCGATGTTGCCGAATCCACAAAGTAAGCCGTCGTACTCCAGTCTTCGTCGCCATGTCGAACCCGTTGTGTACCCCAGCTCGGAAGGCAGCTCCACCGAGGTCGATCACCGCCTGGGAGAGACGAGGCAGACCTCGAGCAAGTCGTAGCGGCCGTTGCGGGACAGAAAGTTGACGTCGTCGCCGATCTCCTTCGTGTAGTCCCGATCGTACTGGTCGATAGCCTTCTGCATGATGTCCAGGTCCCCGCTGGTCAGGGACACCCGCGCCCTCTCTTGCTGGCCATCTCCTTCTCGGGTGAGTCGTCCAGCATCTCGAAGGATTCCGAGGACGGGTCGTTCGCCAGTCTCTTCAGGATCTTGGACAGCATCCGCCTCCACATCAGGTAGATCACCTCGGACCTGCACAGCCAACTGACCTCTGGGCTCGCCGGCCTGGGAATCAAGGACTCGAGGGGGCCTGCTTGTGGCTGGTCGTTCTTCCGACGAGGTGGACGGTAGTTCTGCGCGAAGTTCGGCGACGGGTACCCGGCCTCCCACAGCCGACACGGGTGGGTCTGGCCCCCCATGCACGAACACCCGTTCCGCTTGCGACCTGGTTGTCTGCAGCAGCCGCACCTCTGACATCCCGGCGCCTTGGACTTGGCCGCCTGGACGAGGGTGGCGGTCGGATTCGATCCAGCAGCATTCGTGGTCACATCCTTTTGGGGGTACAGAAGCGAACTCGCCTTGGATGCCCCTGGCCTCGGACTGGATCTGAGCTGACGTCGACGTGCTCGCCTCGGCTGTTGTCGGCAGCCTTGACGTGAAAGGAGTCGTTATGCGATCTCGCGGATGCTCCGTAGTAGGGGATGGCAGCGGTGGCACACCCGAAGGCGACGAGATGGTGCCACGGCGGCATGACATCCGCTGGATATGGAAGCGTAGATCTCCTCCTGATTGAACGCCCTTTCGAGCCGAAAAAGCTCGGTACGCATCCAAATCATCAGGATCGGGAGAAGGCTCAGATTGCCGTGTCGGGAGTTTCGTACTCGTACAAGTCTGCGCTCTTGGAGATGTCTCGGTTTCTCTGATCGTTGCCCTCGAACTCTTGGTCCCCGAAGATGGTCCCGAAGATGCCCTCGTAGGAGATGCTGTAGGAGATCTCGAGAGGCTTGGGGGTGTAGGAGCAGGCCCAGGGGGTGCAGCGAGGACATCCTGACCCCTGTCAGCGTCTTCGAGCTTCGGGAAGTCTGAAGATCTCTCGAGGGTGTGAGGCTTTTCTGGAGTCTTCTTGGGCCCCCCCGGTGGACTAGAGGAAAGAACTTTTCTCGGATCCACCAGGGGGTGCTGTCCCTAGCTCGAGGCCCCCGCGCCAGCCGCGGGCGCCAGCTCCAGCACCGCCTCGTCCGCGACCGCGGACGTCTCAGCCTCGTCCTCCATGGCGTTGCACTGTGTGATCCCGACGATGTTCGGGAGGCTCTGTGGGATGTTCTGCCACCACGTCGGAGTCGTCACGTTGATGGCGAGGTGACCACTGGGCATCTTCCGGCACTGGAAGACGTGATGTGAGATCTTCGGCAGCATCAGGTATCCGTTACCGCAGTCGATGAGGGCGTTGGTATGATCAGGTCCCAGCACGTCCATGCCGACCAGCAGGGGCACCTCGTTGTCCATGATCGAGATCTCGATCTTCTCCTGGCCGTCACCGAGAAAGATGGCCCCCGTCATGGTGCCCATCGAGCTCTTGCGCCTGCCGTCGCCGAAAGTGAAGTGCCGCGTCCGTTCCACCACGTCGAACCGTATGTTGTGCTTCTCCTCCATGTCGTAGATGAGGTGCTCGGCCATCGTCACACCGATGAGGCTCCTCGTGGCGCCGCAGTCAATGATCGCCCAGATGCCGCCCACGTCGTCCAAGAGGAGCACCAGGTCGCCGAGCTCTAGAAGCGCAAACGAGGTCATCTCGTTGGGCTGTGGCTTGCCGCGGTCCTTCGTCCTCTCGGGGCAATCCTTCGCCAAATGTCCGAACTTGCGGCAAGCTAGACATCTCATCCTACGCCTGTCACGCGCAGGTTCTTGACCACCGTCCTGACGAGAAGATCGTTGACCATCACGTAGTTGTCGAGGACGAGGGGGTCCCTCTGCCAGTCGAGGAGCGAGCACGGGGTAGTATTCCCTCGCCACCTTGAGCTTCCTGATGAGGCCCCTTGCGTCCTTGAAGTTCCTGCCCAGCTGCCTGAACTCCGCGTAGATGCCGTCCTCGTAGTCGTCGACAAGCTCGGAGTCTTCGAAGAGGGTCGAGTCCTCCTCGTCCGCTAAGTTCACCAGCTGTCCCACAATGTCCGCGATCTCGGACCTGTCCTCGAAGTTGTGGTCCTCCTGCTCGGCCTCCTCGGCCTCGCCGAAGAACCCCGCGGGCCTGTCTTTCTTCTCGCGGACCCCGTCGATCTCCTTTAGCGCCTCCAGCGGGTACCTCGTGCACAGCGCCTTGTACGTACTGCCGAATTCGTAGTCGCCCCCCGCCGTAGCGGTGATCTCGCCCCTGGCCACAGGGCTCAGGCGCGATCGGCGGAGGTACCACCACGTCCTCAGAGGCGCTGCGATGACCTCCTCGACCGAGCTGTCCACCGCCTTCAGCTGCGACAAGAGGTCGCGCTCGTCCGCCTCCCAGCGCGCCGTCCAGTCGGGGAAGCCCTCACCCGGCTCCCGCTGGAGCTTGTTGAAGAACTTCTCCGCAGAGTTACCCATCTCGTTCACGTTGGACAGGTCGAGCTTCGACAAGAGGAAGTCGAAGACGCGTTGCCATCCTGTCAGTTTGCCCTCGTCGGTGACTTCGTCGATCTTGTCGATGTCTGGGCACGCCTGTGCCAGTCTACGTGTTCTTGCCCCCAGCGCTCTCACCAGCTGGGGTCCCACCACGTACCTGTCCTGCATCTTATAGCTCTTGCTGAAGAGCCCGACGCCGAACTTGTATGCAAGCAGCTTGTCGGGCTCTCCGTCCCATGATGGGACGTCTAATCGGAGTGCTGCTGAGCCGCCAGCAGCTCCTCCGGTCGTAGTCGCGCCACTCGACATTGTTGTCGTCGATCGTGATCGCCACACTGTATAGACCGTGGTCGATCGTGATCGCCACAGTGTAGACCGTTGTCGTCACTATGCTCTCGCTACCAATCTGCATACCAGGGCACCCCGGGGCCCTTCTCGTCACCGCCGTTCGTGACGTAAGTCTCTGAATAGAATACAGAATTCGGAGCGTGAATTACCTACCCCGCTTTCGCTTCCAGGCGAAACCAAGTCATACCACGCGCCTCCTCGTCAAGCGGCCTGACCTGACCAGCGAGGTAGGTTTGTTTCCCCCCCAAGAATGTGATGCGAGCCCTTTTCGCTATGTGAAGCGGCGGCGCGCCAACCCGCGCCGTCCTGGGGCGGTACTCCGCCTGCTATATAAAAACCCACCCGCCCACTGCCGAGCCAAGCAGGCTGCAGGGACGGGAGAGTCGAGCAGACCCCTCACGACATAGCCAACATGAACATCCTCGAAATCAGACTTTTGGCCCGTCTTGGGGCGGTTTGGGATTCCCGGGGGGGGGGGGGAAAGGGTGGACCCCATGAACCCCCCCCCTCTCCCCCCCTACCCCGGCAGAGCCCCCCCGGCCCCCCCCCAGCAGAGCTGAAGCTCAGGTTGTAGTTTTCTTAAGCTCACACGCCGGATCGGCTGATTTTTTTTGGAAGTATTGACGCCTATTGTTTTTTTTCAGTGTCGCAAGAGCGCGCGCGGGACCTGGGGGCCTTCACAGGTCGATCCAGCTCGAGAAGAAGATGCAGGCAGGCGGGCTCCGGGGCTCCAGTGGTACGGGGCGTGAAAACGACCACAGCCAGTGCTTTTCTTTTGTTGCCGCCTTCCAGCCCGCAGAAACAAAGCAGTGGTTGTGGTCACTTTCGTTGAGCTTGGCACCAGGGAAATGACCACAACCACTGCTTCTTTTTCGGCCGGCTGGAAGGCGGCGCAAACAAGAAGCAGTGGCTGTGGTCATTTTCCCGTCCCGCAAGTGGTGACGTTTGCGACGCTGCAGTTCTCTGCAGCGTCGGGTCTGAGGGGAAGTGGCCCTTGCCCAAGGCTCGGGGCAGGCGAAATCTTGGGGGAGTTGGAAAAGTGGGGCATGCACACGAACTCTACTGCATGCGGCTGGTTTCCGCATCGCCGGTGGGCGCTTTCCTAGACGAATGGGCGCCTCTGGCGCCAGGAGGCGACAGAGAAGCTGGTTGCATGCGGTTGGTTCGCTCACAGTCTCCCTTTGTTGTCCCCTCCCCGCACGCCCGACCTGAAAGATGGCCCTACCTGCAGCGCTTGTAGAATTTGTGGCATGGTCCCTCCCTCGTTTTGGACGAGCTTTTTTGTTCTTCCTCCGAAGGAGGACGAGGCCCCCTCCGCTGGGACGGCGCGCGTAACATCGCCCGCCCTCCTCGCTACCGAGGGTAAGCCTCATTCAGGTCTATTGTCCATAATACAGGGTCCGGCACCAAAGCCAGATCGCGATGAGTCGCTGATGGTACAGCCTCCTCCAATCATGTTGTTCGTTCAGTTTCTTTGCGTGGATTGAAGGAACATCCTCAACCACCTGTAGTCGTAGGTCCATCACCCTGTGCGGTGCAGCAGTTGGGCAGTCTGCCCGAAGCCACACTGTAATTCGGTCGCCTGGCAGACCTTTCAAAAGCTGCGGTGTATATTTCATGAGGGCACTCGTGGGTACCGCTGCAAAGACCTGGTGTCTCCAGCCGCGCAAGAAAATTCATAAGGTGCCAGCTCGTTGCGTCGCATCTCCCGCGCGCACTCTGCTCTAAGTTCCTAGGCCCCCCGAGAGGGCTTGATTGAACGCACAGGGCGACACAACCACAGGGTACTGATTGAATTGGGCCGAGTATGACATGCGACGTTGGAGTGATGCCGGCGCCCCAGCGCCACCGCCCAGCCCCGCGTAGGGCTGTCCCCAGGGCTCGGAGCAGACAGCACGGGCCCAGGGGGCCCAGGGAGCCCAGGTGCCTCGAGACCGTGTCACCAGAAGCCCTGACCTCTGGCTTGTGTTGGGTCTTGGCATCCACATTGGTGGCTGGGCCCTTGTGCATCTTTTGGGGAGGAGGAGGAGGAGGAGGAGGAGGAGGAGGGGGAGGAGAAGGAAGGAGGAGGAGGAGGAGGAGGAGGAGGAGGAGGAGGAGGAGGAGGAGGAGGAGGAGGAGGAGGAGGAGGAGGAGGAGGAGGAGGAGGAGGGGGAGCAGCGGCAGGCGCCAGCTGCACCACTGTGCACCCATAGTGGACCTTCCCAGGCCCCATCCCGGGTCCACCCCACGTGCTCTTGGCCGCGCTGGTCGGGGGCGGAAAAGAGGGGGGTGATGACTAGGGGGGGGTGGATATCATGGCGGGGGCCATGATATCTCCCCAGATTTCATGGCGCCTCTTCTTGTTTCAATACGTCCCTGGCCCCCCCGCTGGGCCGCGCACATGCCGCAGGCCATGATTTGCACCCCCCCCTCTTGGACGCCCCCCTCTTTGCCGCCCCCGAGCTGGGAGGGCGTGCAGAGTCGAGTTTGTGTCGCAGGTCGAGCTGTCCAAGCCAAGGGTGCCCTTGCGCCCGCTATTTCGCGACCAACGCCCTCCACATTCCTGTGGCGACGTGGCCCTC